AAGTTTAACACATTTTCAGTCTAAATTTTCAATGATAGTCTTCCAACAGCCGAGGAATGTTTCAGCAAAGTTGGACATTACAAGATGATGAGGAGGATTTAATTGAAATGTTAGCCCATTTTAAATCACTGTTGGTTAGTTTGAATGATAGCTTTCTATTATCTACCACGTTCTGTAAAATGTTTGTAACTTTCACATATGCAGGTCTTGGAAATCTCTTTTATGTATATTTTTTTAAAGCTTTTAAAGTAGAATTATTCCGTTTAAAATGTTTTGTCGATTCAGAAAGTGATTTGGACTGTTTTTTGACTAAGCTGCGGTTTTAGCAGTAGTGAGAGTCTGGTAGACTTGTATATTTTAAATGCAGTTATTTTGTTAGAACCAACGCCTTTTTGAAGACAGTTTTGTCGTCAGGTTTCTGTTACGAATTTTACAGGTGAAAGCAGACCACAGAGTTTTATTGAAAAAACTGGACGACTGCGAATTTGTGGCGAAGCTTGTTGTTCTTTATAAAGTCGTAAGAATTTGGCACTTCGTCTTCTTTCTCTCTTGTCATTTGAAAGTTACTTTTAAATAATATGTCGTTCTTTGTTTAATTTTTTTTCTTTCTGATATCATATTGCTGTAAAATCCGAATCCGAAGAGGCATTTTCTCAGAAAAATCTTTATGAGCAACATTTTTCTACCAATTTAATTCACATTCTTAGTTTGTAATGAAGTGCAATTCTTCTTATTTAGGAACAAAGGAGCTCGGTCCAAAATGCTGTGGCGAAGAGTTTAGCGGCAGCCTGTCAATTAAGCGAAAAAATTACCGGTTTTTTGATGAGCGGAGATTTACCAGGATTGTTAGCAACAAGCAACAGCTTTAAGTTTCCGCTAAGCAAACTTGAAAACTCGTGCTTAAGATTACTTCAGATACTATTCTCAACTGCTAAGGTTCCGCCGGCATCCAACCTTCGTATGTGCAATTTATATTTTGTCTCCCCAATTCCTTTTCCTTTTTAATCTATCTTTTAGTATTTTAGGGAGGGCAGCATTTCCTTTATTTTGAAAAGAATTTTTTTTTTCCTTTCCAGAATATATTACGTCTGATTTTTTGAAAAAGATGCTCGATTTGGTAGGGATACAGGACCTAAATGCCTTAAAGTTTCTTATTAACTATAATTATCAATTCGATGAAGTCAATAATCCAGTTCTGGACATTCTCCGTGCTAATGAATCACTCGCCTTTGGTCATCTTCTCATAAGTTTTTACAACAGAAACCACAACGATGAAGGTTTTTTTTTTT